GAAACAAAATACACCGGCACTGGCGCGGGCGCATTTTTCGCCCCCGATAATGGCCAAAAAAGAGCCCTGCACATCATATCCACAGGGCGGAGCGACCTGTAGGCCACCGGCGCACTATGCCAATTAGCAAGAAGTGCTGCCTGACCCTTGGTGAACAGAATCGCAGGTTGGTTTCCAGGCCGTATGCCTCAGGGTGCTAATACATTACTGCTCTTAGAAAATAATATGATTTAGCGGGGAGTTCCCGTCAAGACCCGCCTCTGCTCTTCATGCACGCACCCAACATCTGCCTTTGCGCTCATTGAACTGGGCGGCCTTCCTGCTCGCAGCACGTTGAGCTCGAGGGTCGCCCTCACAGCTTTCCCCACCAAGTAGCAAAAAGCAGTTCCGAGTCCTTGTTAAACACGTCTTCAACAAATCCTACTGTTTAACCCGCCTCTTGAGGCTCAAAAGGTTATCCGACACTCTACGGTCTCTAGCTGACACTGTGCATTGAGGTAGGGCCCTACGGTGTGGGCTATCAACAGGTGGGTCTTACCATTTAAGCGCATGCATGGGCGTGTTCCGTCGGAAGCTCGTTGACAATCGTAATTGACATTTTTCACACATCATTTTCGAGTCGCGCCGTTCGCTCTCGTCCCTCACACAAAGGGCCGTACATATTTAATAAAAACATGCGCGTGTAGGCTCAGCCGCTCTGAAACAAAAACGTTGTTCAATCGCTCCGTCAGACCGATAGTCCTCAAGAAAATCGCTCTAAAATCTGCCCTGCCTGCGCCCATTGACCTCTTGACCTCCAATTTCGCACGGAGTTGATGCGCTTTCACCTACCAACATAGACTATGTCAGATGAGCTAAGTAAAATATTAACGCCATAGTACAATAATGTTAAGGGGGCTTCGATAGTCGGGGCTGTCGCACGGCCGCATCTTAGATCTGGGAAGCCAACTGGAGTTTCCGACGTCAACTGGAAGCGATCCACGGGCCATCAACTAGTTGTGTCAGTTGCCGCACTGTTTCGCATATTCCGTTGCGACAGGTGTTGGGGCGCGACAGCCACGGCAGCCAAGGTTAATTCCGCCCCCGGCTATCGCCGATCATCCCCCCCCCCACCCCTCGGTACGGGTTTACACCCTGGTGGTGTGTGCGCGCCCCTGCGAGTGTGTATTAGCTACTGTGCTTGTGCGTACATTTGAGGAAACAGCCCTGGAAAAAAGTCGCCCTGGAAAGTGGAAAAAGAGCCCTGGAAAATGAAAAAGTAGCCCCCGAAATTTTGGGGGGGTTTGCAAAAAGAGCCCCGGAAAAAAATTAATTAATTTTTTCACTGTAGTGTAGCATAGAGCACAACGTGAGTGCATGTAGTACATTATAGCATAGCATAGAGCACAACACGAGTGTGTGTAATACATTACAGCATAGCGTAGAGCACAATGTTAGTGCGTAGCATAATCTGACATAGCATATGATGTAATATTCTCTATGATTATTTGTGAACATTCGTAATTCCTATTATCCCTATGTCTAAATGTATCATGATTTTTATCCAATTTGGATTAGATTCACAATTGACTCAGGTTACAGTTGGGTTACGATGAGCCAAATTATTTAAGTTTTACAGTTTGACTAACATCTTAATTTTCTTCCCCTGTATAGGTTGAGGAGAAGAGGCATTGGTTAGACACCAGAAGCAGTGCAGGAAGCTTGATTGGCCTCTCCCCAAGAGGGTTCCCAACCCCTATTGCTTCCCCCCAGCCTCTGCTCCGTACAGTAACCCCTTCATCAGAGATGTTTGAGGCATCGGGTGAGTGCAGCAGATTCAACAATTTAATTAGAGCAAAAAATTTTAAATGGGTGAAAAACCATGTTAAAAGTTTACAGAGAGAGAATAACTATAATGACTGAAAGCATATGTAACTGAAGCGAAATTGTCAACTATGTACATTCTAGTAACATGAAGTACACATATGGTAAAGTGTGAAACATACAGCTCTAGAATCTCCACCTGTCCTGTAAACCTTAGCTCTTGGGTTGCGGAATTATCAATGCGTGATTTTTGATTTACTGTTTATAGCAGTTCTTGCAACGCACATCTTCCATCAAATCAAATTTGATGTTATATTATTCTCCGAATACAAAATGGTAATCGATGTAACAGCGTTGGGAGTAATTAATAGCAATATCGCTTATGCAGCTTTTGGAATCTTTGCGGCAGTAACCTGCTCACCGACCAATCGGGGCGGATAACAAACAATGCCCTCGATCGTTCGATCCGTTCTCGTAGTTAGTTGTCAGCGACCGAGTCGCACGTGAACAACTTTCTCTTCTCCGTGTGCACAGGACAGCTCAACGGCCTGCCGCTGAACCAGCACACAGCGACGGCACTACCCGGTTCCCAGGCCACGGCCGAAGTCTCCGCCGACATCACACAGCAGCTGGAGGCGGTGTGGAATGAGGTCGACGCGCAGCAGAAGGGCTATCTGTCGAGAGAGGAGCTCGGGTGCATGTGCCAGCACGTCGGCATGGAGAGCCTGAGCGAGGAGGTACGGCCGTGATTTCTTGAGAGAATAACCTCTGCCTGTATGTCTTGTGATTTCTTATTTATCATTGAACGTTAGCATACTAGCAACAGCTGGGGCGTAGCTAACAAATTTTGCTTGGTAGCGGGAGGGCACAGCTATATGCAGTTTGTGTTCGAGGCAGTTGACTAGTAGTAGTGCGGGCCTATACGGTCCTGTAGGTAAATACTAGTTTACTTGAAACTCTAAAGATGTGTTTGGCGCTAAAATTATGAATAAATAGCACTTTCTACCCGTGATGCAGGGGTAGAAATTAACTTTTGAACAAGGAAGTCCAACGGACTCCTTACTCTCAAAAAGAGGGAGTCCGCAGTCTGAGGTTCAAAATTAAAGATATTAACAATAACGCATGTGCTTATTTTTAAGATTCATGCAGTTGCACATCTGCCAAATTTTCTTTGGACATTAGCTGAAAAAAATACAGTAATTCCGCGAGGCCGTGCTTTGGAACGAACTAGTTAGTATGGCAGAATTTTCAGGGAGTCACGATCTCCTGCATATGTCAAATCAGGGAGTCCGACAGCAAAGCAGGGAGTATTTGACTCCAGACTCCCGTTAATTTCGCACCCTGTGATGTCTGATGGTCAAGAGAGCATAAGCCAGTAAGTGTCTGTCCTTACAGCAGATGGTGTTGTCGTCATCAAGCTCGTGCCTGTTCTCTTGTTTGTACCCGTAGGTCAGTCACCTTCTTTTGTACCATAACTACAGATGGCGTTGACGTCATCAAGTCCGTGTCTGTTCTCTTGTCTTTACCAGTAGGTGGGTCATCTCTTTGTGTAATTTAACTACAAATGGCATTATCGTCATCAAGTCCGTGTCTGTTCTCTTGTCTTTACCAGTAGGTGGGTCATCTCTTTGTGTAATTTAACTACAAATGGCATTATCGTCATCAAGTCCGTGTCTGTTCTCTTGTCTTTACCAGTAGGTGGGTCATCTCTTTGTGTAATTTAACTACAAATGGCATTATCGTCATCAAGTCCGTGTCTGTTCTCTTGTCTTTACCAGTAGGTGGGTCATCTCTTTGTGTAATTTAA